ACCCAAGCAGAGGTGCTGTGAAAGCGAAAGTTCTGGAGGACCAGAACTAGAGGAGCGTGTCTTCTGAAGGGGGAAGAGATGACAGCTGGGGGATACAGATGTGAGATAGGTACAGAAGTTGGCCAATGATCAGAGATTCTGTGGCCCCCATGATACCAGGTCCAGGCATTGCCCCCTCACTTCTCATGAGCTGCCCTGCATTCATGAGCCATCCAGGACATTTTTGTTCCTTGTGAGCAGAAGATACCTTAGCCTTTTCCTTCTCCCACTCGCCATCTCTCTAAGGTGTCTTGTTCTCTGCCACCAGGACACAGAGTAGGTCATAATGTTCAAGCATCTTTCTGGTATTAGACCAATGTGCCACCTCGGCCACCCTCAGTGATCCTACTGACCCCACGTTCTACACCCATGTTCTAGCCAAACTCCTCCCTCCTCCCCTCCCTTCCCCCTTTCTCCCTAAATGTGTATCTCTTGCTGTATATGTAGATGTATATGATGATGTATCTGTATCTTTCTTTCCCTCCCTCTCTTCTCTCTCTTTCCCCATATGTGTATGTATCTCTCTCTCCTTCCTTCCCTAAACCTCTCTCTCCCTGTATGTGTATGTATGTCACACACACACACACACACACACACACACACACACACACACACTTGCATGCTAGGGCTTGAGCTATTAAAGACAAGAGTCTTCATTCACAGATCTTCATGTGCCTGGCTTTAGGGAAGACTTCAAGAAAGCCACTACAGATGTTATTACCAACAGGAATTGAGGTGACATTCAGACCCCAGAATCCCTTCAGAGGGTCTAAGAATCTCTCTCACTAGGCCTTTAGCTCTTAAAGGTCCCACCACCTCTCACATCACTACAATGGAGACCAAGTCTTTGAGGACAGACAGCTCTGGAACCTTCTTTGAGTAGTTTCTTGGAATAAGCCTCCACCCAATCCATGAGCCGACTTGCTCTAAAAAAAAAATCACCTCATGGCTTCCTCTCCACCCCAGGCTGAATCACTCCCTATCCTGAGTTTTCAGAGCAGCCAGTTCACTAACAAAGACAGTGGGATAGGATCGTGCACAGCCTAGAAGTAGGAGTGTGTTTGTATGAATCTGTAGTGATACAGCTGAGAACCGGAAAGATGCTATTACCTTTGTACTCCCCATTTGTAGGTCTGGAGGAAATAACAATGCTTACCTTTCAGGGCTCTGGGGAGAATCAGTTAAGATGCTGTATGCCAAGAACCCAGCACCATACGAAGAAAACGGCACTTTACACACAGCTCTCCTTCCTGTCTTGTAAGCCAGAACTGAGCACTGTGCAAACTTAGAGACACTGGGGAATAGCCAGGTCTGGACCCCACAGCAGTACTGCAGGGTCAGGAGCTAGCTTCGCTCCTCCAGGGACACCTTACACAGCTCAAGACTTTCAGTGCATAATGAACGAACATCCTGTTCACTTCTGACCACACTCAGGAGTCCCACACAAACCGTGAGCCACCACAGGAAAGAACCATGGGCAATCTCAGCAGGTTCTCAATGGAGTTTTCCACAGGGTTATCACCATACCCTGCCATTCAATATTTGAATTGTTGTGTCTGCCCAACCCCCTCTTTTTTTCTCTTTCTCATTTTGTAGCAGTCAGACTCAGCAGAAATTACTCATTTCAAAGAAAAAAAAAAACACCTTTTCTTTTCCTTAGTAGTGATCTGGGTTTCCTTAGAATGAGAGGTTTCTTGCAACACCCTTTGCCGGAAGAAGATGGTGTTTGCACATCTTGTGAAAGCTAGCAGCCTGTAAGTGGGGAAGTGGCTCTCATTAGCAAGGACACCTATACTGACAGGGCTTACGTGCTTCGGAAGCTCTCCCCATCTGGGACAGAGTTGGGGGTCTTCAGAGCTAGAAAATGTTGGAGCTGGCTGACTGGTTGAGAATTGCAACAAACTTCCCAGAACAGGTAGGTTCCCCAGTCTTCCACCCCACCCCACCCACCCACCCCCACACCCCCACCTACCCCCCCCCTCCACCTACCCCCTCCCCACTCACCCCTCCACCCCCCATCCCACCCCCACCCTTGACTCTACTACAGTGTGATTCAGACTCACCCAGCTTATTGACCCATCTCTTACCAGCAGCCCTGTCCATCATCCATTCGCCACGCCAGTCTTCTTCCTGTCCATTCAAGGCCACACTAGTCCCTACCTCAGACACTTGATCTTTCTCTGGAGATGCTGCTCTACTCTCTCTTATTGTGCCCAGCTCAGTTCTAATGCCACACACGCCAGGGACGGTAAGTACAGTTGACCCAGATAGGTTCACTCCTATTGTGTATCTTAATTCTCTTTCATGAACTACCTGGCATGGCTGGCTCTCTGTGGTGTAGTAGACCCTTTCTATCTTGTTCAGTGCCGTATCCTGGCATAGAATTAGTGCTCAACAGGCTTTAGTTGAGTAAATGAGTAAATTTAATATTCCTTTATTTATTTATTTAGTGTTTGTTTGTTTGTTTGTTTGTTTTTGAGAAAGAGTTTCATGTTGTTCAGGTTTGCCTTGAACTTACTATGGAGTCAAGGATGGCCTTGAACTCCTGAGTCCCGCAGCCTCTAAGTGCTGGGATTCCTGCACATCACACCTGAATTTCTCTTCCCTTCCTTCTTGTCATTTAGACCTTGCCTGGGCTCTTTGAAGCAGGCATGGCTATGATGCTGCTTTTACAGGCAATGAAAGGGCCCCAGAGACAGGAACTGACCCCTCCAGCTGCCTATCTAGTCGTTCCTTGCTGTGTGACAAAGCACAGCACAGCTGCCTTCAACAAGGGGCTGGTTTTTCTGTGGTTTGACTGGTGATTCTCCTGCTACTCTCGCCTGAGAATGTATCGCGTTCACCTGTCGGCTCTAGACAACTGAACAACACTCTCTAACCACTCTGCCATCTTCGGCATCTGCACGGTGGGATGGCTGGAGCATCGTGGGCCTTATGGGCGGAGAGCTCAAACTGTCAAGCTCCTTGATCCAGATTTCTACAGCAGGGAGCAGGGTATACACTCTACCTCCCATGGAATTGGAGCCTGGACCAATGTCATGATCATCTTGAAACTTCCATCCACCCTAGCCCCAATGCTAGAACCAGCCTGACTGTGCTTGTGACTCAGTAAGGTACCGAAGAGACCATGACCATCCAGCATGATCAGATGACTTGGGTCTAAAGAATTGGCTCAGCAGTTATGAGCTGCTCTTCCTGAGGACCTAGATTTGATTTTTACTGTCCACACAGTGGCTCACCACCATCTGTCACTTCAATTCTAGGCTATCCAATACCCTCTTCTGGTCTCCATGGACACCAGGCACACACGAGCGATGTGAAGACATATATACATGCAAGTAGGACATTCATATACACAAAAATAAAAGCTATTTTTTTTTAAAAAAAAAAAAAGAAGGTCAGCTGACCTCAGAGATTGAAAGGGCCTTCAACAAGCTAAACCCTTGTTAATAGTACTTGTTCCCTGGGGACTCAGGTAATGGACTAGCCTCTTCCAAAACATTCTCCTAATGGCATCCCATGGTAAATGGAAAAGAGATGGGGCAGGTTCTCAACAAAGTCATTTCTACCAGCACATTAGTAGCTATGCATGCCGGAGGCCATCTTGGTCTTGCTGAGAAAGGCACTGAATGCATGTGGAGAAGGACTTCAGTCATAGAGAGCTGAGTCTACAGATCACTGGAGGCAGGGGGAGCCTAGTTTTGAGTGTGACTAAGGCAGAAAGTGTGGGAGGGTTGGACAAAAAAGAGCAGAGACACGTGATCAACTTTTAGAAGTGACCTGGGATGCTTTGTGAGAGGCAAGAGAAGAGCCATTCACCACCTTGGGCACAGACTGGTTTGGCACAAGGGAACATGGTGAATGCATCCCTGGTGAGCAGAGAGGGTACAAAGCTCACCTTGAATCCCTTTCACTATCTGACCCAAGCCTCCCTGCGGTGAGCATGACCCTCACAGAGGAGGAAATAGGCTCACAAATGGAGACACTTGCCTAGTGCTTACCACAAGGACTTCAAGAGAGGAGATATGGACAGGCAGAATAGCCACAGCGCTGTGCCAGGCACTGGAGTAGCAGTCTAGCTAGGGAGGCAGGTGGTCAGATGAGCTGGCCCTGAGTACTTGAGGGGAATCTGCTATGTGGAGAAACTTTGTGGAAGAAAAGTAAGAAGCTTAAGTCTGCACTGATTTGAGACCCAGCCTCCTGCCAGATACTCTGCCTCAGGTTGCATTGGCTCTGCATCCAGGAGGTGGGACTTTCTACCTGGACAGGTTTTATTTGTGCTCCAAATAAATAAATAAATAAATAAAGCCCCAACTCCCTCCCCATTCTCTCCACCAGAACCCCTGGGCTGACTGAGATCTATCCCAGATCTTCCAGGATTTTCTCAGAAAAACTGTTTCTTCTCTCACACCTTGCCATTCTTGGAATGATCAGGTCCTGGTGGAACTCAGGTGAAGGGCTCATCAGATTTCTGGCCTGGTGTTCTCAAACCAGAGTGGGCTATAGTTGGGCAACCCTCACGCCATCAGTGTGCACACAGGTGGGCAGGGTCTCAGGCCAGGGAGCTACTCAGAATAAAGACAGCAGGAAGCCAGTGTGTGTGTGTGTGTGTGTGTGTGTGTGTGTGTGTGTGTGTGTGTGTGTGTGTTTCGGGAGGCGTGACAGATGACCATGTGAAGGGAAGGAAAGAAGAGGGGGAGTGAAAGTATTTAGAGAAGGAAAGGGGGAGAGAGGGAAAGGAAAGAAGAGAGAGCAAGAAAGGGAGGGACAGAGGGAAGAAGGGGAAGAGGGGAGGAAAAGGGATGGGGAGAAAGGATGTTGAATATGGGAGAAAACGCTGAAGAAAGGAGCGGCTCTCAGAACGAGGAGGAGCGAGTTGGGGGCGGGGACGAGGAAGTGGGTGCTAGGCGCACGCCGCCAGCTCCATCCTAGCCCCAGCCAGTGCAAGCGCACAGTCCTAAGCCACCCGGTGCAGCCGGTGGCGCACAGCAGCAACACCAGGTAAGGTAAGGTGACCGATGCCTCCTGGCAGACGTCGCCTTGGGACTGGGACGCGGGTGGGGTTGCTCGGAGATCAGGCTGTGGCGTGGCCGCTTTGGCTGCCTGCTTCAGAATCCTGCCGACCCTATCCCCAGATCGACCTCAGGCGCGCTGCACACAGGAAGCACCTGACCTTGGGCTGATGCCTCTACCTAGATTTCCTCCCTGTAACCCTCAACGGTCATACCCATCCCAAAGGGGTGTTATGAGCTAGGTTTGCCGCCTCGTTCCGCGGATGTGAGGGATGCCAGGGTAGCCTCACACTCCTCGTGCCCTCCAGGGTGAATCTGAAAATCTACCTGCGCTTAAAGGCTTGCTTTGTGCCCTCTGGGCGGTGGCGTCCGTGGCTCTCCTGATGTATGTGTGGGAGCTTGGAGAGACTTTCAGCTCCCCAGCACCAGTGGAGCGTCTGGGGCTGACGGAAGGAGGCAATCTAGTTTCTCAAGAATAGGTCGCCTTGCCTAAGTCCTCCTGGGCTGCTGCCCCATGCTGGGAAGTGAGAAGTTCCCTGCACTAGACTGGAAGGGACTCTGGTAGCTGTTCTGGTAGACGTCCGGGACATCAGGGACATCTGGTAGCTGTTGGAAGTTCGGAAGTGGGCTTGCCTCTGGTTTTGGCCTCTTGAGAAATCCAGTGACCTTGAGCCTGGAAGCCTCAGTTTCCCCATCTGACACCGGGTAGTAAAGCTGAGGTGTCTCCCCTGGTTACTGTCATACACTAACTTTGGTGTCTACAGACACTGCTTGTCTGGAGGTCATATGTGTAGCTAAGCATGAAGCATAAAGGAGGGCCCAGGGAACGGAGAGGGGGTAGTTCAAGTCCCAGGAGCCCCACCCCTCTTCTCAGACACATAGCAAGGCAGCTTTTTTAGGACACATCTCTCAGATGAGTCTTGGCCAAGCCTCTGCTTTCTTAATTATAAGAGAGAGTTATGAATTTCTATAAACATGTTTACTTTCCCTGAAGGTTAACCAGGACTACAGAACTGATCTCTGAATTGGATTTGGAGAGAACTAGAAAGAATAAAGATATCATTTGTGGGCAGGCCTGACACCAGGCATATTAGGTGTATAATAATTCAGATTAAAGTACTTCCGGAAACCAGTATTGTTAACCCCCTATTTCAGACAGAGAAACTGAGGTTCTCCACAGTAAGTGATTTCCAGTAGTCCCTGCTGTGGAATTTGGCCTCTGGTCTTCCTGACTGCAGGGTGATACTGCTTTTTATTATGCTGGCCCTGGCCATTAAATAGGACAATGAAATGCATAACATAGGGCCTGGCACCCAGTATGTACTCCTGATTGGCTATGGTTCCCTCCTTGTCCCATGTGTAGTGGGCAGAGTAGCCGCACACTTCCTGGAGGTGACTGATGGTTGTCAGGGAGAGCTGGGTACCTTCACCAAGCAGTACCTCTAAAGGTCTGGAAGGAAGCTCAGTGTCCTGCAGAAAGCTGATACTGGACTGCCTCATCTCAGAAGCTGACTCCGCCCTGTGTCACCCTGTCCGGGTTAACCCCCCTCTTTAGTCTCAGCCTGGATGGTTCCCCTAGGTTCTGATGCAGGCACATTCCTGTCCTGGACAATGGTTAACATATACTAACTGCATTGACTCAGTCCGTGTCATCCAACTGACAGTGACGTCTGAATTGGAGGGACAAAACTGACGACAAAAATCTGGTGACAGATTCACTCTGGCAAGCACTCCTTTTAGAGACACTTTCTCCAGAAGCCCTCTCAGCCCGTCATGTTGTCATGTCCATGGGGAAAACAAACCCAGCTGTGGTCTCCACCAACTCCCTGAGAAAGTAAAAGCAGGATTAAACTGCAATCTGAAGGATTTGGTTCATCCTTGGGAAAGAAATCCCTAGTAATGGAGTCTCAGCAGGCCAAAAAGGTTCTTTGCCAAAAATATTTTAAAACAAGAGTACATCCATTCACATGAAGTGATAGAATGAGAACAAAAATTATTGCAATCCTCAAGACAGTTATCAAAACTCAGAGTGTCTAAATGTCCAACAATAGGGACAGACATGTTTTTACTACTTAAACAAATTTTGAATAGTTGGAGACACCCTTATCCATTGAAGACATGGCATAACCCTGGATTTGAGACAAAAGCCTGGAAAAAAGTAGGGAGGGATTAAAAGAAGGTTAGCAATGTTTGCCCATGGTGGCAGGATTGGGGGCAGGGTTGCTCCTGGGGCTTTCCTGATTTTCTTCAAGGAGTACCTACTTCAGTAATCAGCACTGAGACCTCTGTAGCTTCCAGGACTGTGGTCTTGCTGAAGGAAAGGAGGGAGTGAATGAAAGAGGTGTTCCTTGTGTGGTTCTGTGAATGGGCATCCCACCTCTGAGGCTTCCAGAGTCTCTATAGCCAGTGTCCTCAGAAGCAGCATTTGCCAGGACTAAGTTGGTCACCATCTTGTTTCCTATCTTCTCCTGACCCTGACCTGTCCCCAGGACTCATATACTCATATACTGGTGTGCATGCTCCTTCTGGGTTTCATGCGTATAGGTATGCACCTCCCTGGGAACCCCTGAGGGTAGGGACTGTGAGACCCTGGGGATCCCTGAGGGCAGGAATTATGGGCCCCTGGGAACCCCTGAGGGCAGAAACTATTGAATCTACCTACCCTGCCTTTTCTCACCAGTTCCTTCACAGAGCTAGCATGTATCTTCTTGCCACCACCGAAGCACACATACACACATGGCAATGGCGTGGGAGAAGATGGAACCACAAATTAACTAATGCCATTAATAAATGCCAACAGTTATCTGACAGGCACTGCATGCTCTCCAGCACCTAAGTAGCCATCTCACATCTCTGTGAGAAGAGATACCCTGGCCCATACAGACTATAAAATGGCTCCTGGGTGACCACGAAGTGATAGTCTCTGCTGGAGTCTAGAGCCCCGACATAAGGCACTGTCTCTACAGAGAATGCCTGGATGGAGTGGGAAGGGCCCTTGGACCCAGACTGCAGGACTTAAGGCAGTACTGGAGACCTCAGGGTGAGATGCTCAAATGATTCTGCAAGAGTCACCAGCAAGGAAAGTGGTGCTTGACTGAGGACCATTGAACACCCCAGGGGTGCCTTATCATCAACTGCAGGTCTCTGAATGTCATAATGTCGGGAGGGATGCTCTAGCATCTAGCCGTAGAGGCCAGAGACACCACTGGACAGCCCACAATACCCTTCCCAAGCCTCAGCAAAGAATGACCCTGCCCCAAATGTTGATCTATCTATCTATCTATCTATCTATCTATCTATCTATCTATCTATCTATCTATCTTTCCATCCATCCATCCATCCATCCATCCATCCATCCATCTGTCTGTCTGTCTGTCTGTCTGTCTGTCTGTCTGTCTGTCTATCTATCTATCTATCTTTCCATCCATCCATCCATCCATCCATCCATCTATCTATCTATCTATCTATCTATCTATCTATCTATCTATCTACCTACCTATCTATTGTATCCCTATCTCTCTCTCTCCAAACCTTTCTGTTCTGGACTTCTCAGAGAAATGTCTCATGCTTCAGGTAAACCTTCTCGTGGTACTCTTACTTAGACCGTACTGTGAACTCCACAGATTTCTACCAGGCAGCCTATGGCATGGCTGTGCTCCCCTCTCTCTGCTGGCCTCAAAGCAGCAAGCTCACTCGCTCTCCGGTCTTTGCATGTTTCCTCTATCCATCTTATCCCTTGCACAGGTAGTCTCAGAGGAGCGCCCCCTGGCTTCTCAACCTCCAGGCTAGCCCAGATACTTCCTAGAACACCTCAAATGTTCCTGTGGTCACTTTCCTACCTGACATGAATTCAACCAGGTGTGAATATGCATTTCTCCCATTTCTGCGACCCTTGGCTAGTAGATGTTCCTCTCTGGGCCTTTGGTGACTGGGCTGAAAACCCATAGGGGCATATCACTATCTGATCTCAGTGGGGTTTTCCAACTCAACCCTTAGTTGACAGTGTAGTGAGAAGAGTGTAGGCCTGGCCACAGTGAAAGAAGGCTGGCCAGGCCCATGTTGGACATGAATTGGAGCAGGCAGAGTAGCCAATTGCTGCCAGCCTCATGGGAGTATTTTCC